GATCGCGACAACCGATTTGCACGACAAGTGCACAATCGACCACTCGGGCACTTCGGCCGCCGCCCCGTTGGCCGCCGGGATGATAGCCCTCGTCCTCGAAGCTAAGTATGTATTCACTTGTTGTGACATTTTTAGTAAAACTTAATTTTTGATTTCAGTCCAAACATCACGTGGAGAGATGTCCAGCACCTGATTGTCTGCACCGCACAATTCACACCACTTATCGAAAATAAAAGTAAAACAATTGTCTATTATTGGCATTAATTAGTGATTAAGTATTACTAATATGACCATAATATATACAGGTTGGAAGCGAAATGCAGCCGGACTTATGTATAACAGCCGATTTGGCTTTGGACTTATGAAAGCCGATCTATTAGTGAAAGCGGCTCTCAAATGGGTTAATGTTGAGCCAAAACATATTTGTTTTATTAAACCAAAATCAAGGTAAAGATTGCCATTCATATAGAATTAATGAATGTATTGTAATGAATGAATAGACTGCCGATTGCACTGTCTTCTGGCCATGAAGTTCAAATCAATTTCCTAAACTTAGGGCACAAATGTGCGGTTAATTTTGTGGAACACATCCAGATTAATGTCAATATTGATTACTCCCGAAGAGGAAATCTACAACTTATGCTCATTTCTCCCAAAGGTTTTGCTAACAAAAACTATAGCATCAAAATGATAGTAGATTTCATTAATTATAGGATCGCTGACAATGCTATTGACTGTGAGACATAAGGATTCATACATTTCGGGATTCAAAAACTGGAATTTCACTTCTGTTCACTTATGGGGCGAAGACCCCAGAGGCCACTGGAGGCTCGTTGTCAGAGATCCGGTACATAGCCTTCACTTCTCAATCAATTCATTTTCTTAAAAGTGAAATTACAGTCAAATTAATAGTAAATAATATATTATTTTTAAAATAGAAAAATGATAATCAGAGCGGAAAGATAGTGAGCGCTACGCTTATAATTCATGGCACTGTTAAACCTCCCGGTTGTCTAAGATATGGGCCGCGAAGATATGAAGACGAGGATCTATATTTTTAAAATAGAAAAATGATAATCAGAGCGGAAAGATAGTGAGCGCTACGCTTATAATTCATGGCACTGTTAAACCTCCCGGTTGTCTAAGATATGGGCCGCGAAGATATGAAGACGAGGATCTTATCACAAGAACTATTGATAGAAATCCGGTATTTTTTATAAAAATGTTCGCAAATTTTTTATGCAATTTTGTTAGGAATATTTGGAGGACAATCACAACCAAAATGATATAACAAACGAATTAAAAGCATTAAAGAATCCGTCGCTTGATTTGTTTAACCACGCGATTGAGATCCCATATGAATAATCAAATGGTATTCAGTTTAACGCAATCACAATTCAAGTTGTCTTAAGTTATTCTCTTGTAAGCAAATATTTAAATGCAGTTAAAATGAGTTTTATTTAATAAATATCACAATAATTGAGAAATTTATTGATAATAAAAATTCAAATAAATATGTTGTAAAATTTTATAAATAAATCTATTGCTAACGATTTGTATATTAAGTGTAATTAAACAAAATTAGTGTTAATTGAAAAGACATTAACTTAAGTGAACAGTAAGTATTAAAACAACGGTTTATATTATAAGTCCTCTTCACTGATATCTTCGATCTGATATTTATTTCTTTTGCTATTATATGAATCGGCGCTCAAAACAACTGAGTGGTGAGCTTTGAGGGGTAAGCCGTCGTATACAGGAGTTCGTCGAGTATTGGATGCCAAACAACACAATATATTTGCATTTTTATCGGTTAATATGTATATAACTAAAGTCAAGATCACAAAACAAAGGCATAAGAAGACAACGGCCACAGCTGTGTACCACTTTTCCAGAGCGACCACTTCCTGGACGAGCTCTTTAGCAAAACAGTGACCGTTTCGATGAAGCGTTGCGTCTGAGAAGCATTGACTGCATTCGTTGTCATTAGAGCCGAAACAGTGTCGACAGGAATAGTGACACCGATTGCACGAAACAGATGTGTTGGTCTGTTCATCGAGTTTAGCGCTCTTCTCGACCATAAAGTATCCCTCCGGACACGACTCGATGCACACCTCATTGAAAAGCAAAAATCCAGGCAAACAGTCTGTGGAGAGAATGATAATTATTAATAGCCATTTATCGTATCAATTATACAAATGTATTGTCAACTATACTATTAAAGCGCAAAGAAAGTGAAGAATTAGTTGATAGCTATTATGACAAAACTCTTGAAGACAATTAGATATTAGAAACAGAAGTAAACCAAATGTTTAATGACTTCATCGCAAACATAACACATCCAAAGACAGCAAGAATTGTAAATTCAAAATCAAGAATTCAGTCAAAAATTGAATAATTTATTTAGAACCGTTTAATTATTTTAGTATTATATTTAACAATAATTTATTTTTATTATTTTGTATATATCTTCTGAGTTTTTAAATAATATTTATAAATATCAAGAGTATTATATAATTAGCCAACAAAACAACATAAATAATAAAATAATTCAAAGTATTTCTTAATAACATTTATGTTATAATAGTGTATAGTAAATACACACTGCATTCAGTTGTTTATTTAGAAAAAAGTTTAATTTATGGCTTTAAATAGAAACTCAATTCAAATAAACAAATTATAAAATGAATAACAACTAAAACCAGCGATAATTGTGAAGATTTATTGAGCAAATCGTGTGTTTAAATGATATTTTTAGAAATTAAGATTCTTTTGGTCGCTTGCATTGCAAAGAAAATAAGAAATTTAAATAAAAAGTTTGGTTTAGAATTATAACAAAATTCCCAAATATTTGTCATATGATATAATATAACAAATGTTGCAAAAAAGCATAAAAATAAAATATTCAAATTAAATGTAAATATGGTGTAAATAACTGATTGTGAGTTATTTATTTGATAATTCATGCAATCTATAGTTCTCGCTAATCGCGGCCAACATTTATGATGTGAGGTTAAGGCCGGTAAGAACACTATTAATAGGCCTATCATTTAATTGATATAAATTCAATTCAAAAATATAAATTTGATTGATTGTAAGCTATGGTTCATTACTTCGTATCAATTCATTGCTTTCTATATCGGCGAATGGATGAGAGCCATAACTTTGCTCCCATAGACTCCCAATAGTCCATCTCATGGACAGTCAACTGAATACATGATATAAATGATTGGTTTGGTTGGTATACATGACAGGACGGGTTATGTCTAAATTAAATTATCACAAAATGTGAATAATATTTAATAAGTTAAATGACAGAAAATATCGGAAAATAATTATAATCTTTAAGCATTTATTATTTACATATTTTATAAATTGTTTATAATGTATATTACATTTAAATGATAAAAATTTTATGACTGAACACTATTTATAATAAATAAAAGAAAATATCGGAAAATAATTATAATCTTTAAGCATTTATTATTTACATATTTTATAAATTGTTTATAATGTATATTACATTTAAATGATAAAAATTTTATGACTGAACACTATTTATAATAAATAATTTAAGAATTGCGTCTACAGTATATCACTATAGGGATTGACATGAAATAAAATTGCTAAAAAGTTGTGACTATTATTACCATATTTACAATATTTTAGTAGATAATGGGATGGAAGTGCTTCTTATAAGAAAATATCGGAAAATAATTATAATCTTTAAGCATTTATTATTTACATATTTTATAAATTGTTTATAATGTATATTACATTTAAATGATAAAAATTTTATGACTGAACACTATTTATAATAAATAACGAGTCCACAGCGCGCGCATGCGCACTAAAAGTTTATCGGTGTATTAGCGTTAGTGCTATATAGTTGGGGGAAGAAAAGCACTATATATTCGTTCTTTTCCCTACATTACTTTTGGTTAGTTATTATGATTTAAGAATTGCGTCTACAGTATATCACTATAGGGATTGACATGAAATAAAATTGCTAAAAAGTTGTGACTATTATTACCATATTTACAATATTTTAGTAGATAATGGGATGGAAGTGCTTCTTATTATATACTGTTCAGTATCCCAGTAATGGTTGGATTTAATAGCAATATAAGGCATGTTATGATGATATGATTAATTGAATGTTTCTCGTGAAACATGAATGACAGTTATTTATCAATTATGGCCACAATAGCCAACAGACATGATTTGTGTGGCATATTATGCAACTTTAATCTCAATTATTGCAACACTTATATGAATGTTGTACTGTATGTAAAGTTGAGCTCTCAATATGTATGATTAATCTCATGATTTGCAACACATTAGGCATTAGGCATTAGACTGGTATTCAATGGTCCCAATATTCCCAATATATTAGTAAAGCTTAGGATAAAAGTTTGCGATCTCTGGTACTGATAGTTATATAATGAATGGAAAAGTCCTTAATATTCAATGTTTGGAAATTCGGAAGAAATGAAATAGACTTTGAGAAGTGTTTGAGAATTAAATGAATCTAAATATTAGTTAATATTAAGAGTTGTGAAGAACAGCTTTGACCGCAAAGGCACAGATGAACCAACCTATACATCGTCTCAACACTGGATCAGAAAGAGCACAACCACTGCCACTCATCGCTCCCTCCGAAAGCATGTCATTGTTTTTGCTGTGACGCGTGCCGTGAACTAGAATAGACCAGCCTATGGGCAGACATTGTGTTAGTTGGCATTACATCACTACTCATCTTCATTAGGAACCATCGCTTACATTGCCAGACATTCATTAAGCAATTATCATAATTATGGTCAGTCTCTAGATTTATATCATTTATAACAAAAGACTGCATAATTAGGTCAACTTTTATGCCTTAAATTATAACAGTAATGTCAAATATGTCGGGCATTTAATTTAAAAATACACACCACTTAATTGGATGCAATAATTTAGGGATTAATTATAACATTTTGCGGTTAGTTGACAGGCAATGCAAACTTGGGCTAAAGTATTCATAAATATGTGTAAACAGACCCTCATTATGATTATACATGTTTTTGGACTGACTGTCAGCCAATTCTATATTTTCTGAATTGTCCTCATCTTCGCCGATGTTATTGTGCTTTATGTTAAGTATCGGTGCTTTTGTTACACTCTTTTCAGACACAACTATTCTATTAGGGAAGTCCTGAACGGGTGATGATGTGGTCAAAGGCACTGATGGTATATCGCTATGTGAATGATTAGAAGACCAGTGGTTTGCTTTCAATTGTCTTCTGTCGGGATTGACTGAAGTGCCGAACATAACAAGAGTCCATTCCTTGAGAAACGCTCGACCTTTTGAACAAACACAACATAATTAGTAAATTATAAACAATAAGTCAAATATGAAAGAAAGCATTGAATCCTAAAGTCGTACCAAAAATGCTTTGCAGACCATTAGAGACTTAATGGAAATGTGAGAATAGAAAAGCATTGAAATATTCAATTCAGTAATGAATCGAATCAATAATTGAAGAAAACCTACTGTAATATCGGCCCTCATTGTGTATCTCAAGCCTCCACTCGCCGTTTGGATTCTCACCCCACGAGTGAACGGTCATAAACGGCCAGTTCTGGAATCCAGACCTCGAGTTATCCATTGGTCTCTGCGCTAAGAGTGTCGATCGCGTTCCCGACGGAGATGTCAGATATACGTGAATATCACCTCTTCTGGTGGCAGTGAGAGTGACTTTTGCTTGAATGTGCTCTAAGAACCTGACGTTTTCACATGAGACCTATAGTTCGGTATTCAACAAAATTGATTTTAAAATGCTATCTTTTTAACCATTCATTTCGCAAATACTTTTAATGACATTTCAATGTAAGACTTCGCGGGAACAAGTCTTAAGATAAATGAATTCAAAATTAGTGTCATATTTTGTGTGGCTTTGCTTTAATTACTTGTCGATGGGTTGACTCCGCACTTCACACAACTTCTGTGAGGGAACGGTAACCCATTGTTTGGCCAAATCTATCATTGCATTGGCGTCGAGGAGGCCGTAACCGAAAGAATGGCTAACATTTCTGCCGACACCGTTGGTCTTCCAGTCCCTCGCGTGTAGGTTCGCAGGTCTGGCCGTTTGCACCACAATGTGCTGCATATCACGCCACGTGAGCGCAGGACTGCAATCATCGAAATAAATAACTTATAAATAAATAATTTCTTTCTCTCATAAATAGGTCTTTTAGACAATGGTTTAAAAATTCAATGTCTTTTATATGCTATAAAAGATCTCAATCGTAATAATTAGAGGCTTTTAGACAAAGCGCTAGTAATTTGTTTTTGTGTCAAACTATACAATAACCCAATTTGTATAAAACGAGTTGAACTCCAATTAAACAATATTTCAATTGTTCTGTACTTCACTCCCACCACAAAAAAAAGTATGGATTTAAATATACATTTCCTTTAATAGAATAATATCCAAATGAAAGGTCAAGGGTCACGGGTTCAATACTCCGGTCCATTGTTTTATAACATAATTTTGCGATATTAGGTGGCCTTAAGTTATGGGTCAATACAAAAAGCACTTACTTTGCCTCCAAGACGAGGGCACAGATGCCGGCGGCCAACGGAGCTGAGGCCGAAGTGCCCGTATGGCTGGAAGTGCAGCCGTGATGTAAGTCTGTTGTGATGATCTGTCGTTCGCCATACGAACCGCTGCTATAAGTGGTGGCGAGCGTTGAAGAGCAGGCCTCGCTATACCACGGGACCAAACCATTCTCGGTGGCGCTCGAGATCGAAAGGGTCCAAATGGAGTTCGTATAGCCGTCACAATTGCAGTTGTCGTGCTCTCGGCCTCCATTACCGGACGCCCACACAAATATAGAGCCCAATCCGTTACGACCTTTGGTCACGCCGTCAATGAAGGCTCTGGTGGCTAACTCTCCCGGACCGTCGACGGTCTTCCCGTCGTCGTCCGGACCCCACGAAGCGCTGTATATATCGATGTGTTGAGGATTTAAACTGAGAGAACGCGCTTCGACCGCATCGGTCACATCGCCGTCAAGCATACGAACGCCGCCCACTTTGGCGTTATAGGCGACCCCAACCGCACAGATATTGTTGTTGGCATTCGCCGCCACCTCTCCCGCACATCGGGTCCCGTGTCTGTTAGAGTCGATCATATCATAGCGAGGCATAGGATCTTCGTCGTGATTATTCACATCAAAACTGGCCAAAGGGTCGTAATTAGAGACTAAATCCGGATGATCTTTCTCGAGGCCATCATCGAGAATAGTGACAACTGATCCCAAACCAGTGATGTTCTTATTCCACGCCATTTGGACGTTCATATCTAAGCCCTGACCCCTATTCAAGTACCACATCTGTGGCCAACGCGGGTCATCGAATTGCATGCGTTTAGTGTTAGGACTCGACCGAAGACTGGAAGTCAAGCGAACGAAATCCCGTTTACGCCTTCCTTTCAGACTTTGCTCTTCTTTTGAATGTCTCTGAAGTGAGAAAACCAAACAAAACACATCATTAAAACATTCACTTATTCTTCAACTTTTTCAACAAATATTATGACATTTTTTTTACTAACAATTGTTTGAATGCCTAATGAGTTGTGATGTGATGTGTTTGTAGACAATGGCAGTGAAATATCAGTGTCTTTTCTGTACTCAGGGTCTTCGCCGTATATATAATCTCTTTTGACACGCCTTTTGATGTGTTGCTGTTGTGTCCACACAACCTGTCAACCAATTCATCCATTATTTAACTTTATTTACAATCTCTTTACAAAACTAATTGTCAATAAAAGGACGGATAGGCGGCGCCGAAGATATGCATTACTTTTTACTTCAATTAAATCTGAAATATTTCTCATTTATTGAAAAATAGCGAGAAATACAGGGTTTACTGACCCATGTATTGACCAAATCATCACTAATTGCTAACAATATTTATAAAATAAATTTAATTTAAAAATACTATAAATGATTTGAAGTGATTTAATGCACACAAGACTACAAACTAATAGCATATTCACTGTAAATCATAATAAGGATGAGTTAATCAATTGATTCAAGACTTACATCTGAGTCCCCATTCAAGAGTGAGTGATGTGAATGAGACAAATCTGTGGACCTCTTGGAGATGTGATTCAATCGTAATAAATAATGACAATCAATGGATCCGATCTAATGGTTAATATAATGATAAAGTGAATTCATGGGCCGATAATATGGTTGCCTTCAATACCTGTCCAACTAATTGAAAGCCGTGTCTATCGGCCAAAGACTGTGCGTCCGTTTGTCGGCATTTATTAGCCTTAAGACAAACGGCGAACTCATTGGTAAAGGTCTTTGAATCACATATAACTGGATTTAAACTAAATGTTAATAACATTAATACAAAAAACAATTCATTTGTCTGAAGAGATGGTGTTTTTGATTTGCATTTAAATAGATGTGAATCACAATTGAATTTATTAATAGATATATAAAAAATATTTGAAAACTTTAATAAATATGAGTTCATTTGAATCAATAAAAGAGCCATTTGTTCACTATATCAACCAAATGGTCACTATTATTAGCCCTATTTCACCATGGTCATTATCATTATCATACATACACGTATATCATATACAATGTTATATTACTATTATCATAATCACTTTGAGAATTGCATTTGATTGCTGTTATGTTGTTATAAATATTGCAATTAATTGCCATTAAATGTTAGCGTTGTTTACAAAACTGGATCCAAATTCAATGTCAGACCAATCGATGCCATCCTTAAGACTATAAGACATATTCACTAATTGATGAGATTGTGGTTCACTTTAATGACAACATTATATGGAGAGTATATATAGGGACACAACGATCGCAATCAATGGTAACATTTGGTGTGAATGGCTGTGAGTGACGAAGACTACTGACATATGATCACAACTGATTCATTTGATCCCTCACTGCCTTCACTCACCACTTATACCAATACAACTGCTCAATACCAGTCTCTCTCTCTCTCTCTCTCTCTCTCTCTCTCTCTCCTCCAGCGCTCACTCCTTGACAGAATAATAATAATACTGTTATTAACTTTATATACACTTTTCGTACTACAAGTCATAAACTTTGTCCACAGATTTAACAATTTATTAATTCGCTTATAATTATGGCGTAAAATGTTTTAAGTTTAACGTTAACAACATTTTATGCCATTTTGCAAACAATTAGTGTATGTTTTGTCAACTTTTTTAGAGCATAAGTAAA